ATAGGCATCGCCGCAAGCCAGCATATGGTGTGAGTGGTAAGCGGTGTCGACCTTAAGTAGACGTGCGAACTTCTTTTCCTCTTCGAAGACAGCCTTGACCTCAACGATGGCATCTGCATCGCCCGACAAGGTAACGCTTGCTGGGGAGTTGTGTGCAGCGACCGCGACACGTCCAACAAAAGCGTCAAGCTCAATCACTTCGGTGGCATCTTCGAGAGATGTTCCAACAGCAAGCATAGCGCCTTTGTGTCCGCTCGATCCGCCTGCAAGCTTCGCGTAAAGGCCACGGTAGTAGGCAATTCGAATAGCATCCCGGGCATTGATGAAGTTTGCAGCATATGCCGCACCAATCTCACCAGATGAGTGGCCCACCACAGAACTTGGCATAATCCCGGCGCTGCGCAAGAGGTCGACAAGCACAACTTGGACTGCTGTACACAGCGGCTGTGAGAAAGCGGCTTCGGTGATACAAGACGACTTAGCATCAAGGAGTAATTGATCAGCAATTTTCCAGGTCGGTCGGTCTGTAGCTGGCAAGGTTGCAAGGGCATCATCAAGCTCCTGCAATCGGCGGCGAACAAATTCGGAGGAACGTATTAGTTCAGCACCCATGGCTGGCCATTGCGCGCCCTGGCCAGTGAAAACACCAAAGACCTTTGGAGGGGTTGAACTCGATCGGACGCCAATGTTCGCGTCCGACTTATCCTCGTACTCTTTGAGTCTGAGCTCGATCTTCTGGATCAAGCTTTCGACGTCAGGAGCCGAGAATGCGATTTTATGTGAGAAAGTAGAGCGACGCTGCTGGAGCGTCCAGGCAAGATCCCGCATGTTGACTGGGTTGGTTTTCAGATAGTCCAAGTGTGCCTGCAGATTGGAAACGAGCGAGGTGTTTGACGCTGCGGAGAAGACAAAAGGAGTAGCCGGTACAACCAGGGCGCTGCTAGCGTTGTCAACCTGTGCTTGGTAGCTCTCCAAGATGGCGTGAGAATTGGCGCCGCCGAAACCAAAACTATTCACACTTGCCCTTCGTACAGCATCTTTAGGCAGGACAGGCCATGGCATTGCATGAGTTGGAACCTGCAGGCCCTGAATGAAAGGTTCAATGCTCGGGTTAAGGCGATTGAACAGCAGATTAGGGGGAATGACGCCAGCTTGAAGGGATAGCGACGATTTGAGTAGACCGGCGATTCCAGCAGCGCCCTCCGTGTGACCAATGACGGTCTTGATCGACCCAACATACAAAGGATCACTGGCGGGTCCCCCAAAGGTGGAGTGGATTGCGGATGCTTCCTTAGGGTCTCCTACCTTGGTACCGGTACCATGTGCCTCAAAAAACTGGGGTCTGTCGGCGGGATTTGCAAGGTCAAGACCAGCTCGAGCATAGGTGCGGCGGATAAGTGCAGCTTGCGCCTCCGAGCTTGGTACAGTGATTCCCTGCGTGCGGCCATCTTGGTTGATGCCAGTCTCACGGATGATACATTCGATGTGGTCGCCATCAGCCAGAGCATTGCTCAGCTTCTTAAGAACAACGGTCGCGATACCGTCGCCGCGAGCATAGCCATCAGCATCAGCATCCCACATGCGGGATCTGCCTGTGGGCGACAGCATGTGCATGTTACTCTCGGCCACATACATTTCTAGAATCCGTTAGCTTGATCGCTCGGTGTGCAGAATTGGCTTACCAGGGCCCAGAAGCAGAGTACTGCCACATGCAATAGCAACTCTCGAGTCGTTAGACCGTAGTGCTTGAACAGCATTATGCACAGCGATCATACTCGAAGAACATGCTGTGTCAATTGTCATAGACGGTCCACGCCAATCGAAAAAGTAAGATATTCGGTTTGAAAGAATTGCGCGCGATGTGCCAGTCGCAAAGTATGTTGGTAGATTGTTGGCATCTCTGAGAAGGCCGGCTTCATGGTCCCCTCCCATAACACCAACATAGACGGCAGTGTCAGAGCCACGTAAAGACTGGATGGTGTGGCCGCCAGCTTCAAGGGCCTCGTAGACAGTTTCCAGCAAGAGGCGCTGCTGAGGATCAATAGACTCAGCCTCACCTGCACTAATTCCAAAGAAGTTGGCATCAAACTGAGTAAGGTTCTCCTCCAGGGTGTAGGAGTGTAGAACATTGGACGTGCCATGGTGATCCCCGTCTCTGTGGTACCAGCCTCGCACATCAAAACGTTCTTTAGGTATCTCCGTCAAGATATCACGTGGACTTTCCAACAGCTGCCAGAGAGCAGCAGGAGAATTGGCAGCACCGGGGAAACGGCAACCGCTGCCGACAATAGCGATGGGCTCGGAAGGTTGATAATCCATATTGTACAAAGGTGTTGAATGATATAATGAGTGAAATACAGGGAATAACAAGTTCGACGATGTTGGAACCGAATGCGAGGACCCAAGTAGCTACCACGTCTTAAGTTATACAAATTTTATAGAGCGAGCGATATCATGGAGCAAGAGACTGTTTTTTTAGAAAAGCGATTCCTTCATTTTCATTGGCTCTTAAACATCCGAAGCGGCAAGCCTTGACGCCTTTGTGACATCCCTATGATGGATCCTGTTCGCAACAGGTGAAGGATCTCGATTGGTTAGAATACGTGGCTTAGGTGTTGATAAGTCGAAGGATCTGGCATGACTTGCTAGATCCTTCGCCCAACAGAATAAAATGACTGAAACAAAGAAAAGAAATAAGCAAACATGAAAACACTCGGTCTAATCAAGTTAGAAGGAATTAAAAACCAACACACATGTCTTTTTGGGTCCCAACGAGAGCGAACGTCTACGGGTGATCTCGGTTCTCTGACAGGGGTTAGGAAGGCGATTGGCCCCCGAGCAGAAGATGCAGCACGGCCCTATGGAGTGTGATATGGTTACGTTGCAGCACTAGTTTGAGATTGAGAAGTAGACCTCAAAAAGATGCCTTCTGTTCTCAGCCCTGGCTGAGGCTGTAGCCAAATCCGCCCTGATACGCCGGGGGCAGATCCGGATCCGATGCAGCCCAGTTTCCCTGTGGGGCCACCCGCTGCTAAGCCTACTTAGGAAGTCTCTACCCCAGCCAAACCCACTTAAGAGATTACAGATTCCATACAAGGAATATACACGTATAGTTCTTAGTCAAAAGTTTGAATAACGAAATTTCTACACTCCTAATTTCAATATTTTCTTATTCTGTATTATACAACCAACATGTTTTAAAAACTAATAAAAACCATATAATTTAGTTTAATGCGCTATTATTAATAATATAATTATAATTTTTCTAAAAAATAATTTTACTATCGCAGTAAAAATGTTATATATAATAAGCAGTCCGAAACAGAAAAACCTGTAAATTTTAATTGCAAATTATAAAAAAATAAAAAATATCTACATAAAAATATTTGTATATATATTTAATACTAGATAGTTATTTTAATGCTATATATAAAAAATACTATACTTGTATATAATTTTGTTGTGTTATATCTCAATAAGTACTATAGATATATATATATATATATCTTCGTGCCATATAAATCTTCCTATTACAAGATTTTGCAGTATGTATTTCAAGCAATCTTTATATTATAATAGTATAGTTACATAATTTTATATAAATTTCAGATAAATCTAGTATAATTTTTATATATATAATTTTTTTCTCACTATTTTTTTTATATTATTTATTGTAGGTACCAATAGTACTATGTTGTATTATAAGCTAAAAACTGAGTATAAAATTACATAAGTTGAATATAAAATACAACGTAATTTTTGTGCTTTTTTTATATATTTTTATAAAATTTTACCGCTTATATTGCTTATAATATAGTAAATTTAATTCCGACCGTCATATGTTGCGAGATATATATATTTTACATGTATGGGTAAAAACCATGGTTGGGTTGCGCGGCAACTGGATTATTCAGACTTTCGGGCGGAACTGTATATACACGTGGGGTTCCTCCCCTCCCGCAACTGCGCCATGGGAGTCAACTGCTTACCTCTGGTGGTAGCTCCTCATCTCTCACGCAGTCAAGACTCCATTTTCTCCCTCCCACCTTCCCTCTGTACATAGAAACTATTGCAATATACAGACACATTGCCTCCCTGCAGGGGAGCGCGGATGGGGCCCTATCTGACGCTACGGTCAAAAACCGCAGCGACAGGTGAGCCATTACGGCCATGCCATACTCTTCTTTGTCCCTTTTGACTGCGCTTGGCATAGGTGGCCCAAGAGCAAAATCAGGTGGCCCCGGAATTGTTGGTCCGCCGGATTAACAAATAAGACAAACATACGAAATCTTACGAAATCTTGCGATATGCACGTCCATTTTATGTACATTGGTCCGTAATTTAAAGTATTTGGATTACAGGATGGACAAAATAATGTCATATTGAAAAAACTCTCCAATTCCATTAGTCTAGGGATTCGAATACGAGGTCCCATTCACCATCACCGCTTTGAACGCTTTGGAACTAGCCCTAGTACGCCTCTGAGTACCACTTTCATCGGGCAGATTTGAATTATCAGGGAGCGTGATTTTATGTTCAAGGTCCTCTCCATCCTCGTCCCCGAGTTCAATCAGAGGTGCACCCCTGATATCTCTGAGAGGTCTCTTACCAAGCACAGCCCTGCTCGGGCCCTGCGATAGTTGAACCTCGGCTGAGTAATCTCCCTCAGGCTCACTGATTAGATCAAACTCGAAACCCCCAGAGCCAGTCGCAGGAACAAAAAGAACATACCGACTATTCTGTCACATGGCTCCGCCCATGACACCTGCTTTTGAACCAAGCAAATGGAGAGCAGCTCGACCAGACCGACCCCGGCAAAACGAGCCTCATGCGATCGCTGTCATCTTCAGAAAGTCAGATGCCATCGACCGGATTCGGACGATTTGAGCAGCTGTGCCCGATGCCGATATCTGGGGATACAATGTGTCTATAGCGCGCCATTGCCAAGGGGACGACCAAGCGGAAGCAGGAAGTCGACCAGCAAGAGCAATAGAACGCCGATGGAGGTACCTCTTCTGCCTCGGCCCTCGCAAACTACCCCGGAACCAATAGACAACCAGGAAACGATATCTGACGAGCTCCCATCAGTACTGGTGTCTCAAGATTGTGGCTATCCGGCAGAGACCTTGTTTGAGTCGGAACCACCGCCCTTGTTAGGGACTGCAGTTGACATGGGATCATTCGCTGATCTTGCCATGGAAACAACAACATACACCTCAAGCGCCTCATCTGCTGAGCTATCCCACGATGACATTTTCACAAATTCCATGCAGCAGCTGGCAGCGCTAAGTTGCAGCCTCTATACGCTTCACACCACGTGTCGCAACAAGATCGCCAGCCTGGAGCTCCAGCCCCATCTCGTCTCTCATACGAACGCCTTCAATTCCTTGACGACTTTCCTGAGAGCCCTACCGAGCCTGGACGAGTACGAGATATTCACGGAAGCCTGTCTCGCATCAAAGAGCTTGCTCCTGGTCATGTATCGGCTTCGGCTCTTCGACTCCCCGAATGATGAGGTTTTACCGGCTGCCCTGCAGCATCTTCTCTCTGCGTGTTATGTCCAACTCCTCCACGTGCATACGGTTCTGGTCAGGCTTATGTCATATGAGGCGTCGAACCCACCGGATTTTCATCAAGGCGACCCCTTCTCCCTCGCCCGACTTCGCCTGGTGGTGATCTTTAACCTTGTCAAGCATCTGCTGGAACACGTGCGGCGTGGCTATGGTGCATATGGCCTGACAGTGGCACGGTCGGGCTCTCAGCCAACTACCTATACAGGATCTCACGAAATCAGCGAGGCTGAACACAAGCTATGGAACGACCTCCAGGAGTTGGAAATCTGTCTTTCTCCAAGGTTACAGACGCCTTCGGTTCATGAGTCTGCCTAGTAGCTTGTAATGACTTTCTGTTGAATTTTATGGGCTACAAACGACAGCACACACTTATCTAGCTAGGAACGTCCGTAGAACTCCATTTCTCATTCATCCTTTTACCCATATATCATTCTTGCCACGTGCACATCTACCGCACTACAAGTAACGATAAATTTTGTGCGAAGTATCTCAGTCGAGTATCGATCTTATTTAGGGCATATTACACGGAGCAACATCGGAACACGCGGGCATGATATCTAGCTGCATTTCTCGACAAGCGTATCAGTCGACGCGGACAACCAACTTCTGTCCTGAGATCGCCCCAGTACGAATTATGTCCACACCCTGGATGACACCGGCGCAGCTGTCGTCTAGGACTCTGATTGGGTGAGATTTGATGCGACCGTTGTCAAGCCATGTTTGCGTAGCCGCAAAGATCGTCGCACTCAGGGCCCGATCTGCAGCTGATGCTTCGCACGCGTACTCACCATCCAACGCGACGCAACCGCCGAACATGGTCAGGACCATCAGCCACGAAGCGCGGACGGTCGGGCGCGCAATACCGTCCGCCAGCCCTACCAGTTGCGTCATACTTAGCACAGCCGGGCGCTGTTTGACTCAGACACGCAGTCGAGCACGTAACTACGCCAGGCCGTTGCGCCTGTAAGCACGGATCTCTTTGGCGCAGTCCGGACTGCGGTAATTAAATGCCTTTTCGGCCCCAAATCCGAGGACCAGTGCGAAATTCGACGGCGAGCAAGTTGCAATTGACCGTAATCCTGCCCTGCAGAGTCTTGTCATCAGCGAGCCGTTTTCTGTCCGACGAAACCAAACGCGAACGCTCAAGAGCTTACAGCTTGAGAAGTTGAATGGCCCTGGTGCCAGTGGCGGAGCTGCCTCCAGATACAAGGACCCACGCCGCATTCGGTGTGACATCCGACTCCGGCCCGGCCCTGTCGATCAGATCCTCGATACTCAGGGAATCTCTGATTCGCGGAAAAAGGCAAGACCCGCGGTGGCCAAGCCGATGCCAAGAGTGGATGCCTCCTCGAAAGTCATCGCGTCAGGAATCTTGAGGAGCAGCTCAGCGATCGCTCCAACATACTGTGCAAAGGCACCGACACGGGGCTCCAGGGAGTTGTTCCCATGAACGGCCCCAGCAACCCTGTCTCCGATGGACAACGACCGCGGCGAAGTCGCATCCATGAATAGCGCCAACTGCTGGACTGTAATCGAGCATCTTGGCGTCGACGGGATTAATAGCGACAGCAACAGTGCGAACAAGGGCCATACCAGGGGCCACGTGGCCCGGGCCGGCAACCACCAAGGCATTCTGGCTCCGTGGGATTGCAAACATTACGCAAGATTTGACGCAGAACACTAGCTTCGCTATTCTTGGGACTGTTGGGACAATGGGAATCGCCAGGGCGCGGCAGAACGGACCCCAATATATGATAAGCCTTAGGTTACATCGTCGCGAGGAAGTGGCACTGCTATTGGTGGCCTTGCTGTGGCATGCAGCTGATACTCAAAATCGCTGGTCATCGTGAGTGGAGCTCTTCATCTATAGATCTGAATGGCTGAAAAGCGCCGAACGTCAGAGAGGCCAAGGAAACCCATGGCGCCAGATCACTTTCCGTAGACAGCATAATCTGGAATAACAATTCATCTTCAGCCGCATATCCAGATCAAATGGTCTCTCCCAGTACCTTGCCAACTCGGTCAAACATCAGAAAAGTGTCGCTTTGCTGCCGTCACGCGAATCACGTGATAATATTCTCCTTCCCCGTTATTGCCCCAAACTATATTGCGGCGCTTTGACATGGATCCAGCTGTGTCGAGCAACTCAGGTTCTGAGAGCACGATGCAACAACCAGAAACCCCTGAGACTCGGTCTGAAAATGCGGAAATTCAATCACAAGATGATGGGGGGGACTACACGCCACGCAGAAACATGGTCCCCATCATGATTGCACTCAGCGTCGCGTCGTTCCTTGCTATTCTTGACATCTCCTTCGTCACAACCGCCTTGCCGACAATTACTGGGCACTTCAAGGCTTCTCAAATCAGCTACTCATGGGTTGGTTCGTCTTATCTCCTAACCCAGTCCGCTTTGGCTCCGTTTTGGGGCAAGATAAGCGACATTTTTGGACGTAAGCCAATTACGTTACTGGCAATGTTCGTCTTTTTCATTGGAAGCTTGGTTTGTGCCGTAGCAAATAGCATTGCCATGCTTATTGCTGGGCGTGCTATTCAAGGTGCTGGAGCCGGCGGCGTGCTGCTCATCGTGATGATTCTAATAGGAGATCTCGTCAGTCCAAGGTAAGTGACATTGTGAATTCCCGCTATGAAAGTACTTTATTCCTCCAAAGACTGCTCCCTAGAATGCGCTGACCCACTTCCCAGAGAACGCGGACTATATTTTGGCATTCTCGGTGTGGTATATGCCATCGCAATATCTTCCGGTCCTCTCATAGGAGGAGCACTTGCGGAAAATGTCGGCTGGAGATGGTGCTTCTACATCAATCTACCGTTCCAGGGAATCTCTTTTGCCCTCTTGGTCTTTTTCCTCCACGTTCACAATCCCCGTACCGAAATTATCAAAGGCTTAATGGCTGTTGATTGGCTGGGATCGATTGCTATTACAGGTTCGGTCCTTATGCTTCTCCTGGGCCTCCAGTATGGCGGTGAGGTATATCCTTGGGGCTCTGCCATTGTCATATGTTTGATAGTTTTCGGCGTGGTGGTTTGTGGTATCTTTGTTACCATCGAGTGGAAGCTGGCCCGTTATCCGGTGATCCCTCTACGACTGTTCAGGACTCTCCCTATTATCGCCCTTTTCGTGGTGGATCTCACGCACGGATTCATTTTGTACGGCACGGCCTACTTTGTCCCATTCTACTTCCAGGTGGTTATTGGAGCAACACCGATTAACTCGGCGGTCTGGTCCCTTCCTCTCGCCCTTCCCCTGTCTCTCTTCACCATCGGGACAGGTCTTTATATGCGGAAGACGGGAAAGTACTTATACATGATCATTGCAGGCATGGCTCTCTCCACTCTGGGCACCGGTCTGTTGATCGATTTCGGTGCAGAAACCAATTGGCCAAAGTTCATCATCTATCAACTGATTATCGCTGTCGGCCTGGGTCCCAACTTTCAGGCACCGACCATTGCCCTGCAAGCAAGATTTCCGCCCGCCGACGCGGGCGTCGCCGTCTCCGCGGCCAGTGCAATCCGCGCACTCAGCGCCGCCTTCAGCATCGTCCTGGGCGGCGTCATCATTGAAAATCGACTCTCGGCACAAAACGGTCGTCTCATTGTTGCTGGAGTCAGCCATACGATGGCGGAAGCAATTGCACGGAATGGCGCAGCTGGATCTGTGGAACTCGTTGCACAGCTCACTCCGGCCCAGCAGGACATTTTCAGGTTGCTTGTAAAGGACAGTCTTGCCGATATGTGGATATTCTTCGTCGTTCTTTCCGGAATTGGACTCATTGCATCTTTCCTCGTTGGAAGCGAGGAACTTTCCGATGAGCATGTTGAACACAAGACGGGTTTGGGAGTGGAAGAGGCAAATCGATTGGTGCATGAAAAGCCGCGGGTGAGTGGCTGAGCCAGAATTCGCCGAGATGACTTGAAAACACTCCACAACTTGGAGGAGTGCGATACCTCACCATCGCTGGTGACGCATCGTCGGCTTTTTAGCATTCGACAAGAATGCGCATGATTTGTACTATCTAGAAGTTGGAAGAGGAAACAAATTGCCAAAGGAGATTGCTCGGAAATATCGCAAGCGATTAAACTTATCGACCGCATTATCAGGTCCAGCGTCACTGTGTAATAGGCTACATCTGTACAAAACCTGAACTACCACTTAGAAACCTCGAAGAGGACCTCCATTCGATCGTACAAGTTCTGCGCATCTTTCTTTTCATATCTGTAATCCGGTGCTGTATCTCCTCTTGCGCGATTTTGTCCCATTCCTCTTGTAGAGCCTCTTTCATCTCTTCTTCGGAATCGAAGATTCTTCGGCGTACGCGTTGCTTTACAATAGCCCAAATACCTTCAACAGGATTAAGATCCGGACTCTGGGCAGGATGGTCCCATAGGTTTTAGATATTGTGGGCCTTCCCGTGCTCTTGTGCTAGTCCATATTTCCTTATCCCATGGGAAGGGTCCCCATCCTCTTGTAAAAGCCATGATTTCTCGTCAGTAAGCCGTATAGATTTAACAGCTTCGACGTTTCTAGGTAGAAGGTTATCTACGTAGTACTTCTGGGTCGTTGAATTACCCCTGAACCTTGCCCTCTACCTTACGAGGCTTTCCAGCTTCCCATTCCCTTACACTTTCATTCATGCGTCGTCAGCCGAGAGCTCCTAAAAATAGGGCAATGGTGCATTAGCATCGGCGGGTTTTCGACCAATAACAGTCAGTGCTTCCAAGATTCTTTGTTTGATTCCTCCCAGGTGCCTGCGCCCCTCTGGCTATTCACACTTAATCACCGATCGTTTTTTTAGGCTACAGATTTGAATCTACTAGTGTCGTGCGGCAGGCACCAGCTTTGATCTATTAAGACTACACTCGCATCCTCCTTTTGAACCACAGTCTGGTTTTTCATCTCGGCTCACAACACTCTGGCATCCACTCACTCTTTATTGATCTACTTTCTTGGGCCCGCTACGAGTTTGCTCTACCACGAAATCAAGCCAGTTTGCCTTCCTTCTCCACCTTTCTTTCTTTCTAACCTCTGTCATTCCGACACTTCCTAACCCTAAGCTGAGGCTCGACGCATCTTCGATCCTTATTACCACAATGTCGTCCCCCGAAGCAGCCGGCCAAGATGATTTCTCCCAGTACCTGGTCTCCTACGGCCCCGACGCCAATTGCACCCTCGCCCTATGCCCCGTCGAAGCCAGCCTCCAGGGCTACCGGCCCGCCCTAGGTGCGCAGATCGCATTCATCGCCCTCTTCGGCGTCTCCATGCTCATCCACCTGGCCCAGGGCATCCGCTACCGCACCTGGTTCTTCGCCATCATGCTGGCGCTCGGCTGCATCGGCGAGATGATCGGTTACGGCGGGCGCGTTTTGCTATACCAGAACCCCTTCTCCTTTAACGGCTTCATCATCGAGATCTGCTGCATTACAATATCGCCCGTCTTCTTCGCCGCCGCCATCTACGTCTTGCTCGGCAATGTCTCCAATTTTTTGGGCCCCGAAGCTTCCAGGTTTCCGGTCAAGACATACGTGTGGGTGTTTTTGCCGTGCGATATCGTTAGTTTGGTCTTGCAGGCCGTGGGCGGCGCGTTATCATCGACTTCGGTGGGAAATGACAAATCGGGCGAGTACATCACGCTTGCAGGTCTGGCGTTCCAGGTTTTCACTCTTTCTGTCTTTATTGCTATGGCGTTAGACTACCTCTTGCGCTACATATCGTACCGTAAGTCTCAGCAAGTGGATCAACGCCGGATCCTCTCGACGCGCCTCGGGATCTTTGGCGTTTTCTTCTCGGCATCTATTCTCTTTATCCTTATCCGTTGCTGCTACCGTATTGCCGAGCTCAGTGAAGGATACAGTGGGTCAATCTTCCACGAGGAGGGTCTGTTTATTGGGCTAGAGTCGGTAATGGTGACCCTGGCAGTGTTCGCCTTAAACATTGCTCAACCAGGTACGTTTCTGTCCCATGTAGAGAAATTCTTGTTCGTAATAACAGTTGTAGGCTTCGCATTCCAGAACCGCACTGAGGAGGCCTATGCAACCTATGGTCACAATATTGGACTCGAATCCAGCTCCGAGCACAAGTCATAAAAATGTTATAAGGTGACCTCATGAAGAACGTTTGGGCGAAGCTCTCTGATACGGACCTACTATGAAGAGTTGATAGAATAGAGAAAGGAGACCCTTGAGAAAGGAGACCCAGTCAACTTGGATAAGAAGTGATAGGGGTTTTACAAGGTCTAAGGCAACAGGATGAATCATGTGATAAGTTGCAACACTAGGAGTTACAGGACAAGTATCTCTCCAAAAGAAAAGGAAATGCTTGTATAGAAAAGGGATATCCTTTGGATAGAAAGGGAATCTTACTTGTAGAAAGAGAATACTTCTCTATAGGAAAAGAAAGATTAGATATTGAAGAGTGGAGCGCTCAATAGTAGTATGGACTAGCCACACAGGTCGATATGGAGGAAGAAAGCCACCACCACTATACATGCAACATATGTAAAGGGCAGGAATGGCAGAATATGCTATACAGACGAGCAGAGAGATGTAAAAGGGATGATATTCTCGAATATGAAGCCATACGGGTCTATATAAAACATGAAGACAGAACTTAGGCATTTCCAGGCCGCAGCTCAACGCTATATATTAAGTTCTTTGTAATTGGTTATATATTATTATTTAAATTATTAAATTTATAATAGTGTCGGGACATAATCTCCCTTGTGTTCCATGGGGACATACCTGTATCCCTTTGCAGGGGATAGTCAAGGGGCCAACCGGTTTCCCCCTTGTGTGTAGGCTAGATGGATTGGGACATAAGTAATCCCACTCCCCATCAGAACTCAAGGGGAACACATATCTTAATCAATACAGAATCTACTTTTCGAAGCAAAACCCTGTTCACTTAACTGTGTACACAGAACCTAGCTGGTGATACCAACAAATAGTCTTGTGGTAGAATAATAGAAAAGCGTATAAAATATATAAATTGAATTATACTAAGGAAACATTTGAACTTGCAATACTATATAATATACTTAGAGGAGGGAAGTAGAAGCCTTGACTCTCGCTATCAACATCATCCTGGCCCTCTGTACTGGAATGATGTTTGTGCACTCCGTCTCATTTCAGTGCGCGGTTCTAGCTTGCACCCAATGAGAAGCCCACTGGTTCTGTGCGGGCTGCCATCCGCTGTGCGAATCATGGCATATTCTGCAAAAGCTGAGAGATGCCACCGGAGGGTAAATAATCAATCACAATTCAGGGTTTTCAGGTTTATTTGGGCCACTCTTCCAAAACACCTAATGCAGGTGCCAATACTGGTCTAGAACACTCTGCATGGATAGCACCGGAACAATGGCATGAAACGGGAATAGAAGCGTCCGGAGGATCAGAAAGAGGCCTGATTGAAGGTCTCCGTTTCTTTCGCTTCTCACTTGGTTGTTGTGTGTCATAGAAGATTGCGTTCCCATCTTCGTAGTTACCGGTGTCTCGATCAGAGGCCCTTGTGTTTGTCCGGATGGCTCCTTGCTCCCATGATGGTGGCGGTATAACCACAGCTATCGACGGATAGCGCATCGGGCTATCGGAGCTCGGCATTGTTCGAGTATTAGAAAATTCTGGAGTAGAGTACACGATCGGCGGAGGGGACGATCCAGGTGGACCTGACTTGTCATCAGTAGTGCCGGAAACCCCAGCCCGCCCCGGAACACCGTTTGCCCCGGAGTAGATTCTCACCTAGGCCAGATGTCTGACTTGGCTCTGTGTCCATTTTACTGTCGCCAGGGTGCATACTGTCAGAGTAGAAGGGACCTGTGATAGACAATTTCTGCTTGGCTGATTCTTGTTCGGAATCGCCCACCGCAGATTGGTTGCAAAGGGTATTATTCGCTTGTTCGGGTGTTGGCACGGTCACACAGGGCACGCAGGAGAGTCGGGAAGTCTCCATTTCCTTTGTATTAGGAACAGCTTCTGCAAATAAAAGTCAGACAATGAAACATTGATGGCCGACATTCATCGAGTGCTGTGCCAACTTACCAGGTAAGTCAATTTCTCGCATTCCAGGATGGATGCGGTCAAGATGGTCTGTCTCTACAGGACATGGGTCTTGTGTCGCGGGGACTTTCGATAGCACTGGCTCTGAAAAATCCAACATGGATCTTGCACCATCTAACAGAATGTCACTGGCAGCTGGCATAGTTGTTGTCACTGCGGGTTCGATCAAGACGGAGGGCAGTAACCGGGGAAATGCCATGCCTGTATGATGCCCACTCCCACGGATTCCGATTGATCGCAAAGGGATGGTGCTGTTTACTTAAGACGTAAGTTACTAGACATATACACCCCCTCAAACTCTGTAACTAACAAACAGCATTGTACCAAACAGTTTCGGCGTCTTTCGATCCTTCAATGCGTCCGCAGATTGCCAGCACGCCAAACGGCACTATGATAAATCTCTTGTCGTCGCTTTTGGTTGTAGAACTTTAATCAAATCGGTGGAGATCACATAACTATTTCAGTGTTTTTAGTCATCCCTGCCAAGCCCTGAAACTGCCATAAGTATTTTAGTTGCCCAGAACTAGGCTGCGGCAGTATCCGTAAAAATCCGTATCCACAACACATCCGCTCCGCAGATTACGGATATAGATAGGATTCTAATATCCAATATCCGCGCGAATTGGATGCGGATTTAGATTTTAAAAAGTTAGATATCCGCGGATATCCAGCGGATTTAAAAATAGTATAAATATACTAAGTCTCGTAATCTAATTTAATATATATATTTTATACTAATTTTAAGATAATATTCTATACTATTAGTATTATATATTATTAAATAAATTATATATTTATAATATAGAAATTAGTATACGATGTCACGGTTAGCGGGGCGCCGGAAACGGCCGCCATTGAACCGTTCCTCTGCCGCCCGCCACCGCCTGCCACCTGTGGGTATCCCACTGCCCGTTGCGGTATGGTCCCTACCCGTCTGAGGATAGCGCTGACTCTTGCCGCTTTTGCCCTTGTTCCCTGCCGCCTCATGCTTCCAACTGCATCTATATAAGCCCGACTTCTCTCCCTCAAACGACGACGCACTTTCTCCTTCCTTTCTTTCCCCCTCCCATCTCCTTCGCCCGGCGCACTGCCCCCTTCTCGCCCTCAGAAGATGCCGTGTTATCCGACCATTACCTTTTTCCGGTATGGCGCCGCCCAACCCCCTGTTTTCGCCCTTCAGCTATGGAGTCACCGGCAACTCATCCAGTGGACCTGGACATTTTTACTGTTGCTTTATTGGTTTTTGGCCACCCAATGTGCCGCCTGATGGTGTGCTTTTACCTATGGTAGGACTTGGGCCGCTGCAATGTTTCAGAAAGGATGGTTGTGGCTAGAGTGCACTGGATAATTAATTTTTGTACATCTCTTAATCTCTCTGGTTTCTCTTCTCACTAACTATTTTTTCCCCCTGCTTGCATGATAGTTTCATGCGCAAGGCCTCTGTGAGGTTCCATATGGATATGTGTAGGGGGGAGGAATTGCTGTTTATACAGCTACTGGAGATGGCATTCAGAGCGTCCGCTCAGTTTTAATAGCTTGGGTTGGCCCCCTTGCCTCTGGAGCCATCCCCTGTTCCACCGGATCTATTCGCTTCTGGGCTCTTGCCTTGTTTATTATCTAATAGCGAAATTGCCGCATTTCTTTTAACCAGGGCCCATCTCTGCAGATCGGGCCAAAAAAAGAAATTGGTTAAGTAGTTGACGTGAAGCTTGGAGCTGCAATTACTAGATCTGATTAGCATGGGCAAGCGGTTATCAGCTTTCAGCTGACAATTTCAAATGCAGGTGGACACGTCAACTACCTGGATGTGGGATTGAGGACGAAAAGACTTTGCTTCGCTTCCCAGGAGGCGGAATCATGGAGTCGGCGCTTTAAGGGAAAGTATAAAAAGGCCTCGCGAACCTGCGAGATTAGGGGCATTTTATTATCTACGCCTTTCTGTTTCCTCTCACATTTCCTATTCTTGTTTCCTATCCACCTCTCCATCAAATTTCACACTTCCCTTTCCTGTTTCCTAGTCACCTCTCTGTTAAAATATAATCCCAAGGACACTATTTCTTGCAAGATGTTCCCTACATTTCACCTGAACAACTTTAAGCCATGGATTCCCCCTTCCACCGGCCCATTTCCACCTCACAAATCCCTAAATTCTTGCAGTACAACATCCAACGCCCCTCCTCCCCCTAAAGCTCGGCATGGCTCCCTTTAAAATACTTTGCCTTCTTTACCATATCCTAAGCATCACCTTCCTGCACGGCCTCCGCCCGAAGCGTGTGTGCATGCAAAAACGACTACTCCGCTATGTACGCCATTAAGCCCCTAATCTTAACCACGGGAGGGAGCTATACTACCGTCTAATACACTATATCCGGAGAACTTGAAGCAAGGAATAACTTCCCTACATGGTCCAGCACATCACACATCGAATTTGAGCCCAATTCCACCCCGTGATTTCCAAGATATTAGTGATCTGACTGAGTTGCTATCCTTTCGGGGAGACACCCCAGGGAATGATCCGTCGTCGTCCAGTATACCAATTTTATTATTATTATTATTTATTATTATTATTATTATTCTTCCATATTATAGAGCATTTTTCAGTCAGAGACTATGCATGCTCTAAGAGACTATGCATGCTCTACCTACCACCCCTGGGTGGTAGGATTTGAACTAACAAACAGATACGTACATAGTGGGTAAAATCAAACGTGAATAAGCAGTATGACATTCTAGGAGTGGGGGGGACCTTATAAAAGGGGTTAAACCATGTGAAATTCCAACTCTTTTAACTGTTTTTGCTCTGTTTTCCTTTTTTCTATTGTTTTTGACATTTTTGTTTTAAGGATCCAGGAGCCACTTTCTAGTGGCGATCCCGGTTTCCTTTAAGAATTTAACCAGTTGCTCTTGCCCTGCTTTCTTTGTAAACAGATAAGGCAGATTTCGGTCTTTTTTGTCTAGGGTCTCTATAGACCCTTTTCTAATATCCCTAAATGCCTGGCACTGAAAAAGTAGGTGGTGCGGAGTTTGGCGCTTGTTGCTGCGGCATGATGTGCATATATCACTATTATAGTTAGGTGTTCGAACTAGATAGGATCTAAAATACCCATGCCCTAGCTTTAGCTGGATAATGGTTGACCAGGTCTGCTTGGGAAGCTTTAGGGGGCTTGGTTTCTATGAAGCTATGGAATTAAAGCCCCTATATTAATTACTTTTCCTAGCATTTTCCCATGCTTTATCCCAATCCTCAAGGCATTTTGCTTTGAGCTCTCGTTTGAGATGGCTAACTAATATAGGGTATTTATAAATATTTACTTGTCCATTCTGCGCCATATTTCGCTGCTTCGTCAGCTTTGGCATTACCAAAAATTCCCTGATGGCCTGGAACCCATTGGATATAAATATTGATATTCTTATCCTTAATTCTAGTTGCCCATTTAAAGATTCTTTGGTATGGTTCATAGCTGGTGTCTGCTGATTGAAGCCTTTTTAGGGCTGCTTGACTGTCCGAAAAGATGTAGATATCTAAAGTTGGAATTTTAATAGCCTTAAATGCTTGTTTTAATGCTTTTTGAATAGCAAATACCTCCGCATCGTAGACCTTATATTCATAACCTAGATTCCATGCCCAAGCCTTTTGATTTTGAGGATTATTCTCTAGGAGGAAAATTCCGGCTCCGTTTTAACCATTCTGCAGCTGGGATCCATCTGAATAGAAGATAATTTTGTGGTTATCTCTATCTACCAGCCATTAGATATTAGCCTTTGTGTTCCTGGGCTGCTTGTCTTTGTTTGCTAGATATGGATATATCTATTATTTGGTTTAACGGTTGGGACCAGGGCGGTAGGGTTTGATCTAGCGTCTGAAAGGTGCCTTTCCATGTCTTAAAGGAGAATAGTGCTAGCAGTCGGATTAACTGGCTAGGGTATTTTCTTTTTTCTCTCTCTAGGGTGGTATTCGGGTCTTCTGCATCTAGTAATCTAGGTTTCTCGTTCCAATCCAAAACCTTGATTGGTCAATAAAGAATTCCCCGGGTTTAGTATAAATGTGGTTGGGAGTCTGCTTTGAATTGCATGGGATTTTTATAAAATAGGCAGTTCTAAGGACATAGTTTCTGCAGATTTTATTAAATCTAACTAATGGAGGGGGCAGGGATGCTTCTATTTCCATGGCCTGTATAGGCAATGTTTTAAAAGTCCCCAAGATTTTTTTTAAAGCTGTGTTTTGCAGTGTTTGGTAGTGGTCTACCAAATACTGTTGGCCTTTCCACCATAAAGGGACTCCATAATCTGCAATGGAAGAAACACAGGCAATATAAAGTTGTCTCATGGCTTGAAAACTTAGCCCCTTTCTGTATTTGAAAGCCTCGCTATTTGGTGAAATGTTCGAGTTGCAAATGCAACTCTAAATTAGACATGTTCTTTGAAAAGGAGTTTAAAATCTAAGTAGATTCCTAGCCATTTTACCATTGGGCTTGGTTTAACTTTGATATTGTTATCTAGTCTAACTTGGGTGTCTTCCTTTTCTTGATCTGGTTGTTTAGAGCTAAAATGAATAAGCTCTATTTTATCCTGATCGAATTGGATATGGTCTTGGCTCCTTTTTGAAATATTACATTAGCTACGAGCTCGATTTGCCTGCAGTTATTTTCTAGGCTTTTAGAGCTAATAGTTAGGCATATATCATCTATATAGCTAGGCTTTCGAATATTTTTAAATGCTTCCCTTGCGTCACCACCTAGTTCCTTATACATTTCAAGCTGGAAGAGCTCTTTAATATAAGGAACAGAATAGGTGATATAGGTGATCCTTGGGGGATCCCTACCTGGACTGGTGTCTCCTTGCTGGTTTCCCCGTCAAACGCGAGGAATACTCTCCTATCTGACATAAATAACTTGATCCACCTAATCAGGCTCTGTGGAAGGCCTAGTTTAAGGCAAACACGAAGTAGCTGATTAAGCAAGACATGGTCAAACGCCCCTTTTACATTAATAAAAAGGGCTGTGGTAATTTTTTTGTCATGTTTCGCCAGCTCTATGTCATGAACCAGGGATAGCGCTGTATCAATTGCAGATATTCTTTTTCTTCCCCCCATTTGGTCATGGTAAAGAATTGATTGCGGAAGTTCGGCTAGATAAGATAATC